GGCTTGTGACCCAATTCTGGCCAGTGAGATTCAAGATGAAGTCCATGGGCTGGGCGTGGTGGCTCACGCCTGTACTCCAAGCACTCTGGAGGCCAAGGAGGGCGGATCACCTGAGGTCGGGAGTTCAAGACCAGCCTGACCAACATGGTGAAACCCCATCTTTCTTTTTTTTTTTAAAAAAAGCAAGTCCATAAGGGGTGCTTTGGGAAGGTTTCTCATCTCATTCTCTTAAGATACTCTGGATATTGTGCATGGAACCACCATAGGCATCCAGCTGCCGGCCTGAAGCTGACAGCAGCACTGAGGATAGCAAGAGTGGAAAGAACCAGGGTCCTTGATGATGTCATTGAGCTGCTAAATTAACCTTTTCTGGGGCTAGCCTGCCTTGCAGTTTCTTGTTACATGAGATAATACATTTCTTATTGCTTAAGCCCCTGTGAGTTGGGTTTTCTGTTAATGGCAGTTAAAAACATCCCTATTGCTTCTTGCCTCACTGAAAAAGGGGTAGGAAAATAAGTTCTCTCTCCCATGTCAGAGGATCCCATAGCTGGGTGGCTTGATTTCTGAGGTGTCATTCTCTTATAGCTTTTCACTTAGCAAGCCATCCCCACACCACTCAGGGTGCAAACTCACCCCTTGGATGGCAAGATGGGTGGGCTCATGTAACAGCCATTTTGCCCTTCCAACGCACAGCCTGTTTTGCTGGATAAGGCTCATTATGGCAAGTCTGTCCTCTCAAGCAGATGAAATGATTTGAGGAAGTGTCTGTCCGATAAATGTCTCTCACTGCTTATTTTATGAGTTACTTGGAATTATGAGATACGTTACATGCAAGCTCGTGTTGGACAACATGGCTGAATTATTAAGTATCCACTATCTAGTTTTGCCTTGGAATGTCTTTTGCTCCCTGAATATGAGATGAGGACTGAAAACTCCACTGATCCCTGCTGGATATCTCTGGCTTCCTAATAATGAATAATGGGGACACTGCCCCATCTGGGACTCTCCCAGCTCAGCTTTTGCCTGAGGGAGGAGCTGATTAATGTGGGGCTGATTAATGTGGGATACTTTCTGGTGTCAGAAGGAGGAAGATTAAATGGCTACACCTTTCTCTCCCTGCCACCTCCAAGCCAGACAGCTGAGACCACTGAGATGCTTGTCCTATGTCCATTTCTGAGATGCTGAGGGGGAAGAGTGCAGCAGTGTCTAAAAAAGTCCATTTCTGCCCAAGAGGACTCGCAGCCTGCAGCCCTTATTTGAATAATGCACCTTAGACAAGTAGGCTTCTGTTGAAACCCTGGAGATCAAAGAGTTCAGGTCAAACAGCTCCCAGAGAGGATTAAAGACTAAAAATGGACTGTCCCCACTGCTGCCCACAATTAATTCCTTCTAGAGAGCTCTGTAAGTTCTAGGCTGAATCTGGGAGTCGTGGATGCCCTGGGGAGGTCAGGGCGGTGGTAGCTCTGAGTCCAGCTGAGCCCCAGTGGGGTAAGAAGTATCTTCTCTCTTCAGGGCCAGCCTCATCAGCTTGTAGACAGAGGTGGACCTCAGCCAGGAGAAGGCAGGGAGCTCTTTTGGACTTCACATGACCAGCCCTGTCGTCCTCATGAGGGCTTCTTCTTGCTTTTGAAAATAGATCTTGATTTTCTGTAGGTCGTAAGTTATTTCCCTGCTACCTTTAGTTAGAAGGAAACTCAGATCAGCAACTCAGACAGCAGCCTCTGGAATCTGCCTAGGTTCAGATCCTGTTGCACCATTACTATCTGCATGTCGGTGGGCTGCATGTGACCACTCTGCATCTCGGTTTCTTGTCTGTACAGTGGGGAGATCACAGCATCTCTCATGGAGTGGCCAGGAGTGTTAAAGAAGGTGGCACAGGAGCCCATTCAGTGCTGGTGCATAGTTGTGAGCTACTATGCCGGTCTCACAAGGCTGGGCTCTCTCTCAGGACTTGATGACCTGGTTGCCTTGAGGTTTATCTGCCCCCGCCCCATCTGTCAGACACACCTGTGTACCTCGTGCTCCGACCCCATCCTGACTCTCATTCCACCCTCATATGGGCTTTGTGAGGAGGGTGGTCCTGTGTTAATGGGCAGCTGAGCATGTGTCCCTATAGCAGCCCTGTGAAAGGGGGATGGGTGTGTTTTTAGAACCCCCCCTGTGGTCCTGCCTGCAGTCCCATGAGAACAGAGGAGAACAAGTAGCACCTCCTAGGCTGCAAAACCAAGGTGTGGAGGGCCAGGGGCTGAGCAGGGAGGGGCTGGCAGGGAGGACGAGCTGGTGGACAGTCTTGGGGCACCGGAGCGAGGGCTCCAGCCGCGGAGAGGGAGAAGGGCTCGGGCAGGCGGCTCACAGCCTCACCTGTCTCACTAGAGAGGAAACTCACATGCCTGTGAACCTAAGGCAAGAACACCAGGCAACAGGTGTCATGAATGATGTCTCCCCAGGACTCTGGGGAAGAAGCGAGGGGTGAGGGATACTTGGGGAAGTTCTCCAAGCTTTTGTTCCTCTCTGAGCTGTACCCCTGGGCACCTGGCTCCACGTTGAGACGGAGTCCGGGGCTGGGGGAAGCACCCATCATACCCAGAAGGTCACGCCCTTGGTCTGTCCTTTATCGTGAGAGAACCCAGCCGGGAAGGGCACAGGAAACCCAGACATCTCTCCTTGGATGGAGCTTAAGCAGTTCAGAAGGTGAAACTGAAAGGAATCCATTTCTGGTGTTTAAGCCCCGAGCCTGTGGTGCGCGTTCTGGTAGCCCTAGTGAGCAGACACGGAGTCCCCAAACCTCCTTCCTTCCTCTTTGCTGTCCATGGCTGAGGCTGCCTACCCCAAACCCCACCAGAGCTAGAGGGCAGGGGTGCCCCGTCCACCACCCTTCTGCCCCGACAGCCTCCCTACCCCAAGCTAGATTAAGCTGTTTCTTCTGAAAAGTCCGCCTCTGGACTGGCTCTTTTTAGTCTAAAACAATAAAACCATATTGGAAAACAAATAAATAAAATAAAAGCTTGGAGAAAACAAATCAGCAGCAGTCCTGTCAACCATTGTCATCCCTCCCCTTTCTCCCAGTCTCCGTCCAGGTGCTGCCTGCCTTCACCACACTGTGCTGTGTCTTACTTGTGAACCTGGTGTTGTCAGGAGCCTGGGCCTCCCACCCGAGGATGCGTTACCTGGGCTCCACACCCCTCCCAGGTGTGCGGACACCCCCTGCCTGCTGCTCTGGGCCTACTCTCCACCTTTGTCCTCACCCTGCTCTGGACCTGGGAGGCTGATTCATCTCAACTGTACCCACTCACACCCCTGCCCTCTAGCCCTGGTGGGGTTTGGAGTAGGGAGCCTCAGCCAGAGACAGCAAGGAGGAGGGAAGGAGGTTTGGGGATTCACTGTATCTGCTCGCTATGGCCACCAGAACAGGGTTGCACAGGCTCAGGGCTTAGACACCAGAAGTGGCTTCCTTTCAGTTTTTCCTCCCTGTGTCCTCACGCAGTCTCTCCTCTCTGTGTGTGACCCCGGTGTCTGCTGGTATGTCTGTATGACCTTTTCTTCTTCTTCTTTTTTTTTTTTTTTTTGAGACGGAGTTTCGCTCTTGTTGCCCAGGCTGGAGTGCAATGGCTCGATCTCGGCTCACCGCAACCTCCGCCTCCTGGGTTCAGGCAATTCTCCTGCCTCAGCCTCCTGAGTAGCTGGGATTACAGGCACCCGCCACCATGCCCAGCTAATTTTTAGTATTTTTAGTAGAGACGGGGTTTCACCATGTTGACCAGGATGGTCTCGATCTCTTGACCTCGTGATCCACCCACCTCGGCCTCCCAAAGTGCTGGGATTACAGGCTTGAGCCACCGCGCCCGGCCGGGATGACCTTTTCTTCTAAGGACACTGGGCAGATTGGATGAGGGCCCCACATTTTAATTAAATCATTTCTGTCTACGCTCCATTTTCAGACATGGTCACATTGTAAAGTACTGGGGGTTACGGCTTCCACATACGGGTTTTGGGGGAACAATTCGGCCCCATAACATCGCCCCCCCCTTCCTCCTTGTGGGGTCACTGGGGGCTGGTCGTGTCCCACAACAGAAGGTCATAGCTTTGTCAGGCAGCCCCTCAGGCCCCTTGCCCCCACCAGCCCCCAGCCAGGTGGAGTTAATGGTGCTGAGCTTTACTGCCTCTAAGGCCTGCACAACCCCTAATGGTTCCCCCCAGCCCACCCACACCTTTGTCCATGGTCCCTCCATAACTCTGCTCCCTCGTCCACTCTGAGTGGTGCTGTTTCCTGCTGGCCTGCCTGACACCGGGTGTGTTAGTCCTTCGGGCTGCTCCGAGGATGTCCATGAGGTGGGGCTGGGGCCACTCCCAGTTCAGCTCTCCCTTGCTGGGAGATCCTGCCCTGGTCACTTACTAAAGGCACGAGAGTCAAGAGAGGCATGCCCTCCTGTGATAACAGAGCAAATGACTTTCGTCCCACGCCTCCGAGACTCTGGCGTGAGGAACCTCCGAGGCTGCTCCTCCACAGACACCAGCTCCACGCCTGATGTCCTGCAGGGCAACTCCTGTCTCTCCTCCAGCTCCCAGCCCCCACTCTCTCAAATTCCTGCTATTTCTTTTAATTCAGTGCCCACCCGCCCTTGCATTTGTGTTTCCTTTTAGCCCGTTGAGGCCATTCCCTAAGGGCTTCACATTTCACACCGAAGAGGCCTCTTGGTACTGGGCCAAACAGACACCCTCCATGGGAGACTCCGCCACCATCTTGTAAACCAGCGATTCTCCGTCTTCCGCATGATGGCCTCTTTTTACCTCATATTATGCCATGACCCTCTTTCCATGTATTGTGTAGTCTATGCCATTCGGAAGAGGTAGCCTGCCTTTGTTTCTCTGACCAGGCATGCTGCTGTTGGATATCCATGGCGTTTGTGCTTTGTTAAACACATTCTTAGATCCAATTCCTACTTTCATCTCCCAGTTCTCAGGCATTGTGTATGGTTAAAATTCGGAGATGCTCAAAGTACGATTTCACCCATCACACAGTTTATTCCCCTACGAGGATGACATTTTTCTTAGGTTCACAATGCTTAAGGAGGGGAGAAGGTGAACAGATCTCCTGGGGAATGCGCTGGGTAGACAGGGTGTATGAGTCACAGAGTGAGTGAGTTCCAAAGTGGCTAAGTCTACTTGCTCCGTTAGGATGGCAGCAGACCTCCCTGGAAAGCGAAGGCCCATTAAAGTGTGGTGTGTCTCTGTTATAAGAACAGCTCTTGGGAGAGACGTCCAACACAACGGAGCTTCACAAAGGCACATAGGGTCCCTCATATGCGAGAGGGCGGCACAGTGTTGGCGGGCGAGGCGTCCAAGTTCAAAGGCTAGCAGGGTATGGCCCTGTCGAAGAGGGGCTGACTGCCACAGCCCCAGCTCTCAAAGTGTCTGTCAAACCCTTAGGTTTTGACGTAGTTTGAAGTTCCGTGGTTGAGGTCAGTAGCTCACACAGAGGATTTGGTGAGGTGTGATGCCACATTCTCGAGGGGTGCAGGGTTGCGCTCCAAGTTCCTGTCATGGCCCAACATGTCACTCATGTAGCAAGGCTTATGTTCGTGTTTGGACTCATTTCCAAGCTCCTTAAGGTCAGGAATGTGGCAGTAGTCTGTGTACGTGATTTCAGTCACCTTCCACATAGAAAGCTTTGACTTCCCGAGTTATTTTGAGCAGATGGTCATAAGTTTGCTCAGGACCATCATTCAGAGGGATTCACGGAGACCAGAGAAGCTCTCTTAAGGCCTTGGAGCTCATCCAAAAGGGAGCAGCTCCTGGGCCTGCTGAATGTGGAGTCCATGCTGAAGGCACTACAACAGGAGCTTTGTCACCAAACCTTCTGACAGCTGCTACTTGCTTTTCAGGGGTTTCTGTGTAACATCCTACAACTCATGTAACAAGACAATGAGAACTCTTGTTATGTTGAGCCTGACAAAGGCCGAATTCCCCAAAGTTTGGCAAAAACACCAGTCACATGGCATCCTCCCAAAAAGAAGTGTTGGGTGGCCGGGCGCAGTGGCTCAAGCCTGTAATCCCAGCACTTTGGGAGGCTGAGGCGGGTAGATCACGAGGTCGAGAGATCGAGACCATCCTGGTCAACATGGTGAAACCCCGTCTCTACTAAAAATACAAAAAAATAGCTGGGCATGGTGGCACGTGCCTGTAATCCCAGCTACTCAGGAGGCTGAGGCAGGAGAATTGCTTGAACCCGGGAGGTGGAGGTTGCGGTGAACCGAGATGACGCCATTGCACTCCAGCCTGGGTAACAAGAGCAAAACTCCGTCTCAAAAAAAAAAAAAAAAAAAAGAAGTGTTGGGTGGTCAAGGAAATTTGGAAAACACTTTACCCACCATTAATGCATTTAGTGAATTCTCAGGATCATGCATATACATATTCTTTTTTTTTTTTTTTTTTCTGAGACAGAGTCTTACTCTGTCACCCAGGCTGGAGTACAATGGTGTGATCTTGGCTCACTGCAACCTCTGCCTCTGATTCAAGCAATTCTCTCACCTTAGCCTCCTGAATAGCTGGAATTACAGGCATTCACCACTATGCCAGCTAATTTTTATATTTTTAGTAGAGACAGGGTTTCACTATGTTTGCCAGGCTGGTCTTGAACTCCTGACTTCATGCGATCCACCTGCCTTGGTCTCCCAAAGTGCTGGGATTATAGGCATAAGCCATTGCACCCAGCCAATTTTTGTATTTTTAATAGAGATGGGATTTTGCCATGTTGGCCAGGCTGGTCTCGAGCTCCTGGCCTCAAGTGATCTGCCTGTTTCAGCCTCCCAAAGTTGAATGTTTTCATTTTTAAAGTTCAGTATTTCCCAAACTTATTAGATTTTTAAATATATATATATATATATATATATATAAATACCAATAAACATCTCACGAAGCTCAAGATTCATGGAATAGACTTTAGGAAACATTGCCCTAAGAACTTACAAGGCTCTTATGATTAAAAAGAAAAAAACACAATTATCAAAGTTGGTCCTTGTTTTATAATAATCCTTTGAAAATTGTTGATATGAGAGTTAACTAGAGTGTTGGATTAATGAGGCCACCCTCATCCTTTGATTGGGCTAATTGGTGGTAGTCCTGCACTATAGAGTAACACAGGAGGAAATACTAATTAGGTCAAGGAAGGCTTAGTTAAAGTCTTGAGTGACAGGTTACATTTTTACCACTATACAAATAAAGAAGTTAGGAATATTTAGGACCTACTGTGACTCTTTTGAGAGAAAATCAACAAGGAAGATTCGTAGTCTTCTCCCAGACTTTGCCTTTTGACCTTTTTTGAAGCCTGGCTCCTGAACTGGGGGACAGGGGCTATGTTCTTAGATTCCCACCTCATAGGTCATCTGGCAGTGATAGGTAGTGTGCGGAGGCAGCCTGGAGTGCAGGCCTACCTTTTCAATTCTATTTATTTATTTTTGAGACATATAAATAAATTCAATTTATTTATTTTTTATTTCTGGCTCTATTGCCCAGGCTGGAGTGCAGTGGCGCAATCTCAGCTCACTGCAAACACCACCTCCTGGATTCAACCAATTCTCCTGCCTCAGCCTCCCAAGTAGCTGGGATTACAGGCGCCTGCCACCACACAATACAATTTTTTGTATTTTTAGTAGAGACACAGTTTCACCATGTTGGCCAGGCTTGTCTAGAACTCCTGATCTCAAGTGACACACCCACCTCAGCCTCCCAAAGTGCTGGGATTACAAGGTGAACCACCACACCCAGCTCCAATTTTCTTTAGAACGAAGGTGTGTGAAACAGGTGGTCCCAACTCTGTGCCATTTTAGTGCCTGCATTGCCTGAGATGGTTTTCCCAGGTGCCAAACAGGACACAGCAGGGTCACAAGCGCTGCAACCTCCCTCCTTCCCTACCCTCCTCCTCCCATCCTCACTCCTCATCCCAGCCTTTCCCCAAGGTCAGGACCCTGCGGAGAGAGGCTGGTGGTAGTATTCAAGCTGTAGTTGCTGGAGGCAGAGGTTCAGGAACCGCTAACTTCCCACTAACCCTGGAGCTGCAGCAGGGAGATATTGACTGCTCCCTAACAAGGCACCTGCCTTAGAGAGACAGAGAGAAAAGGGAGGGGAGTAGGTGAGACATGAGGTCAGGTATGAAAAGGTCAAGAACTAGGGGTGTGTGGCTGACCTGGGCACCCACTCCATGTATTTCCAGGGGAGACTGGCCTGAGCAGGGGCGCAGAACTTTCCCCAGCTTCCCACTACAGCAATCCCTCAGCCACGGTGAAAAGGCTGCCTCCTAGCGGGTGCTCAAGGACAGGTTTTTGAGTCACCCAGCAGGGCTCCTCCCCCACAGGGCTGAACTTGTGTACACAGGGTTCCTTGTGAAGTTGCTCGCTTAGCTTCAGGGAGTCTCAGGGATGTGCAGTTGTCTCTGGTTCACAGCTGCAGAGTGAGAGGCAGGGGACAGGAGCCCCAAAGAGGAGGGTTGCAAAGAAATCAGAGGAGGAGAGAAGGTGCTCACAGCCAACAGCCCGTACGCAGAGGGACAAAGTGGCTTTTGGAGAGGGACAGGGAAAGGGCACAATACCTTAAGTCCAGTAGCATCATTCAAAGGCCCTCATAAGAATAACAATAAAAATAATAATAAGGCCTGGCATGGTGGCTCAAGCCTGTAATCGCAGCACTTTGGGAGACCGAGGCGGGCGGATCACCTGAGGTCAGGAGTTCGAGACCAGCCTGACCAACATGGAGAAGCCCCATCTCTACTGAAAATACAAAATTAGCCAGGCTTGGTGGTGCATGACTGTAATCCCAGCTACTTGGCAGGCTGAGGCAGGAGAATTGCTTGAACCCAGAAGGTGAAGGTTGCAGTGAGCTGAGATTGTGCCACTGCACTCCAGTCTGGGCAACAAGAGTGAAACTCTGTCTCAAAAAACAAAAAACAAAAAAACAAACAAAACAAACAATAAAAACCAATAATGAGAACCATGACAATGACAATGAGAACAATAACAAAACAATCATAAGAGCTTCTGCCCCATTCAATTATTCCAGTCATTTTCATGGAGTCCCAACTGGGTGCCAGGCACATGCTGAGCACCCAGCATACAGGGAGGCAAGGTCCCTGCCCTCCTGGCCCTTACAGTCCAGTGTGGAGTCCAGTGAGCTTGCAAGGATTATACATAATTGCGCACCATGATGGTGGCGATATTTATGAGACAGCCTCCCTGAAAGGATTCTGCTCTTCACCTGCACAGCCTCACCGAATCCCCACAGCGAATCTCGTGTTAGTGCTTTTACGATTCCGCTTTACAGTGGAAGAAATGGAGGCTCAGGGAGACGAAACCTCCTGCCTTAGACATAAAGTCAGTATGTGACAGTGTGGACAGACTTGGCCCAGAGTTACCAGCCCCGTTTTGGTAGCTCTTGGAGGGGAGGCTAAGTTCTCACACAAAGGTGAGGAGGGCAGAACATGTGTGTGGGGGTTGGCGGGTAATGGCACAGGCAGTGCCAGGTGTCAAATGGTCACGCACAGAAGCCAGGCCCAGGCTCCAGGAGTCTGAGGTGAGGCTGAGGCCATGGGGACGAATTGTGTCCAGGATGCTTTCCGCCTCCTTCTCTCACCTCCCCCTGGGGCCCAGGACCTGTTCTCTGTACCTCCACCCAATCTCCAGTAGATCCCCCACTAGGCGGTGAGCTGACAAGAGGATTTTCCTGCCAAGGGGGATTTGCAGTCCACAGGAGATGCCTGAAGACCTTGTGTATTGGTGAGCCAGGGAATGTTGGGTGTGACTGGAGTCTGGAAGTAGGAACCGCTGGGCATTTGGGGCAGGGAGGAGGCAACCTGGTGGGGCAGGGTCCAAGTGTACAGGAAGAGGGAGGGGAAGGTTGAAGGAAGATTGGGTATGACCTTAAGTGCCAGCATAAAGCCCCTGACTTTATCCCGTTGCCAGTGGAGCCACGGATGGCATAGGCTGACCGCCCTGGCAGTGGATGGCTGATACAATCCAGCTGGAGGCCTTGGGCTTCTAGGCTGGGCATGATGTGAGAGAGCTGGGTTGGTGTCAGAGGACTCTGGGCTGCCTGTAGGTGAATCCAAGGGCCCTCTCCTTGGAGGGGCCTGCTACTCCCAAAACCCACCTTCCCTAAGCTGCCCTCTTGTCAGCTCTGTATAGACACCAGGCTTCCCTGCAGGGAATTGCTTTCTGAAACATAACAGAAAAGGGAGAAAGAAAATCTCAAGCTCCCTGGGGAATGACAAATGGTTGTATCTGAAATTCAAGGAATTGGCTAATAGCCCTCAAGGGTGACATCAACACCTTGTATTATTCACCTGGTATCAAATGGCCCCGGCCCCTCCAGCCCAGCAGCTGTTCATCATTGGCTGTACACCAGAATCATCTGAGGAACCAAAAAAATAGATATATTGATGCCCGGGCCCCATCTCAATAGATCCTGATTGATTGGTCTGGGGTGTGGCTGGGATTGGGGTTTTATCTGTGCACAGGGCTGAGGACCATGGCTTCACAGACTTCTGCAGCACGATAATAGTAGATGCCATTGAAGTTGATCACAACTCTTTCAAGACAAGGTACTCTCTGGAGACACAGGGGCTGACTCTTGCTATATGAAGTGATTGCATTACTGCAGTTCCTGAAATGCCCGAGGTCCTGGAGGAGAGTTCTGGATTCTCACCAGAACATTCTGAGATCTGACCTGAAAGGGCCCTGTCCTCAGCCTCCTGTCCCCTCCAGTCCATCATGACTGTTCTTTCCTGCCCTGACGTGGGATCTTCACTCCATTTTGCCTCCGAAATCATTTATTTTGGATAATCATTAAAGATAAATGTTTTAAAAATCATCTAAGAAAACATGTGTATGCCACTGGAAATTTCAAGGCAATGAGTCATCACACTCCTGGTCCCCCTCAAATTCCCGTTTCTTATGTAAGCCTGAATCATTTTTTTTGTGAGGTCCATGCATTGCGGAAAAAAAATTGGAAGGCTCTCAAGATGAGTGTGTGTGTGTGTGTGTGTGTGTGTGTGTGTGAGAGAGAGAGAGAGAGAGAGAGAGAGAGAGAGAAAGAGAGAGAGAGAGGCAGAGGCAGAGACAGAGACAGAGACAGAGAGAGGGATTGATTCATGTCATTTGTAGCTTTAGGGGACTGGTGGTACCCCTGAATTAACATCAGAGATTCCTCATCCCCTGTACTCATTCTCCTTTTCTCTCTACTTCAGTTTCCATCCAGTGATGTTTTTGCTTCAGAGTGCACATGTGAGACTTTGTCATCCTGCTGTCCTGGCTCAGGACCACTGTCTGTCGTGGGACCTGAGGACAGGCAGGCCCATGGAGATGGTGCTGCACTCTCCCGCATGCACATCCTGAGCAGGCTTCAGAGCCCGAGAGGTGGATGAACTATGTCTGGGGTCTAGCTTCCAGGTCTGGGTTCTGGCTATTTCCGATTTTCCTAGAATAACGTGGAGGCTGTAAACAGGGTCCAGGAGGATAAAGAATTGGAGTTATTTCGAGGGAGAAAACTAAGGGAGCCCATTCCCTAGAGGAATGAGGTTGTTCTTTGGGAGTTTGACCATAGAATTGACCCATAGAAATCAAAGCAGACAGAGGCCAAGCCATGCTAAAAAGAGACAGAATAGGCCCCAAGCCAGTAAGACCCGCATAGCTAAAGGCAAAGATACCCATCAGAAGAGGTCACATCTATAGCAGAGGAGTAAAGAGCCAGTCCTAGGCGCACGGCCACACCCATCCCACACAGAGAGTCCGCCGTTCCCACTGGCAATGGCATGTCTCTGTTGGGGAGGTGCATGCCTCCTATGTTGTAGCCTGAGATTTTCAATCATTTGCAGTCAGTAAGGCCCTGGTTCTGAGCCCAGAAGCCCAAGCCTGGCTCCTTAGGCATTGTGCCTACAGAAAAGGGATGAGAGAGCAGGTAGCTGCTCACTGTTTTTCTTGTGAATGAACAAATCCACTATATTAGTGTGTTTTCATGCTGCTAATAAAGACATACCCGAGATGGGGCAATTTACAAAGCAAAGAGGTTTAATGGACTTACAGTTCCATATGACTGGGGAAGCCTCACAATCATGGTGGAAGACAAGGAGGAACAGGCTACATCTTACGTGGATGGTGGCAGGCAATGAGAGAGCTTGTGCAGGGAAACTCTCCTTTTTAAAACCATCAGATCTTGTGAGATTCATTCACCATTATGAGAACGGTGCAGGAAAGAACCGCCCCCATATTCAATCACCTCCCATCAGGTTCCTCCCACAACACGTGGGAATTGTGGGAGTTACAATTAAAGATGAGATTTGGGTGGGGACACAGCCAAATCATACCAAACCATATCATCCACCAGTTTGATACAGTGTGAGCTGATGTTGCATTAATTCCTCCTTCATCACCATGAGACCACCTCTCACAGGTGAAATACAATCAGGAGAGAACCTGGAGGGGGTGAGGCCATCGGGTGAATATCTTCCTTAGGATCCACTGGCCTCCCCAGGGGTGTCCTTGGCATCACCAGAGGCTTCACCCCTTTCTTCTAACTTCCTGAGCTGTGCTGTCCAATATGGTGGCCACTGGCCTCATGTGGCTGTTGAGCACTTGAAATGTGCTAAACTGAATCGGAATATGTGGTAAGGGTCAAATACATATACAATTCTGAAGATTTGGTGTGAAAAAAAAAAGAATGAAGACGATTTCATTAATAATTTTCTATATGGATTGCACATTGAAATAATTGATCTATTGGGTCAAATAAGTGACATTAAAATTAATCTCCTCAGTTTCGTTTTACCTTTGACCCTACCCCAAGACCTGTGAGAATGAAAATAAAGAACAAAGACAGCAAAAAAAACAGCTGACAGCACCAGGATCTTGGGAGCCAAACATCAGGTGGGTGAGTGAGCACTACATCCAACAGTGTACCAGGTTGAATAGTGTCCCTCTAAAACTCATGTCCACCTGGAACCTCAGCATGTGACTTTATTTGGAAATAGGGTCTTGGCCAATGTAATTAGATAAGATTTTACTGGATTTGACTGGTTATAAATGCAATGACTGTTCTCCAAGGGCATATAAAGACACAGACACATGTGGGAGGAAAAAAGCCATGTGGTGCTGAAGGCAGAGATGGGGATAAAGCAGCTACAAGCCTGGGAAAGCCAGGGATCCACCCAAGTGGGGGGAGGCATGGAGAACTCCTTCCTGTGAGCCAAAAAGTATCTGAATCAGTTCTCAATCAGTGTAGAGGTTTGTTTTTTCAAAGTTAAGGACACACGCGCAGGAGGCAAGCCTGTGCCTTTCTCCGAGGATGATTCTGAGGATGTCAATATTTAAAGGAGAAAAGCAGGCTCAAGGGGAAAGAGGACACATAACTGAATCCATATGTTGCAAGAGAAAAGTAGGGAGGGGAATGGTCGATTATGTATTCCTGTGGAGCTCACCATAAGATAAGGGGAACATAGAGTAACTACTGTAGAGATGTTTTACTTTTTATCTGTAGCTATTTGCTCAGGAGAAAAAAGAAAAAAAGAAGACAGTTTCTTGTATGACTCAGCTTTCAGCTTAATATTTTTTTCTTCTGGCAGAGGGAATTGGGGTCCCAAGTTTTTCTTTCCTTTCTTTCTTTCTTCATTTTCTTTCATTCTTCTCTCTCTCTCTCTCTCTCTCTCCTTTCTTTCCCTTCTTTTCCTTCCTTCCTTTCTTTTCTTTTCTTCTTTCTTATCTCACTCTGTCACTAGGCTGGAGTGCAGCGGTACAATCTCAGCTCACTGCAGTCTCAACTTTCTGGGCTCAGGCGATTTCCCTACCTCAGCCTCCTGAGTAACTGGGACCGCAGGCGCATACCACCACATCTGGCTAATTTTTGTATTTTTCATATAGAAGGGGTTTTGTTATGTTGCCCAGTCTGGTCTTGAATTCCTGAGCTCAAGCAATTCCCCTGCCTTGGCTTCCCAAAGTGTTGGGATTACAGGTGTGAGCCACCATGCCCGGCCTAGGCTCCTAAGTTTTTACTTTGCTTTCACTTTCCCTGGAGCCTCCAGAGGGAGCATGGCTCAGTTGACACCATGATTCCTGACTTTTGGTCTCCAGAACTGTGGGACAATACGTGTGTCTTGTTTTAAGTCACCCAGTTTGTGATCATTACAGCAGCCGAAGGAACCAATATGCTTAGTATGGAAAAGCAATTTCTCATTATGGAAAAACAATTTCAAATGAGTGAAATTTCTCATTAATAATTTTTATGGCCGGGCGTGGTGGCTCAAGCCTGTAATTCCAGCATTCTGGGAGGCCGAGGCGGGTGGATCATGAGGTCAAGAGATCAAGACCATCCTGGTCAACATAGTGAAACCCCATCTCTACTAAAAATACAAAAAAAAAAAAAAAAAATTAGCTGGGCATGGTGGCATGTGCCTGTAATCCCAGCTACTCAGGAGGCTGAGGCAGGAGAATTGCCTGAACCCAGGAAGTGGAGGTTGCGCTGAGCCGAGATCACGCCAATGCACTCCAGCCTGGGTAACAAGAGTGAAACTCCGTCTCAAAAAAAATATATATGTATGAATTAAATGATTGATTTGATAATATTCATTTGGGTTAATATAAATATATTGGGTTAAATAAAATACAGTATTAAAATGAATCTCACTCTTTTAAAAAAAATTCTTACAAAACATGGTGATTAGAAAACACTAGATTGCATAGATGACTAGTTTATGGCTGGCTGTATGTTTCTGTTGGACAACACTGTTCTAGAGTATACAAAACAAGGGACTCTGAGGTCCCTGTGTGTGAGATGCTGGGGCTCTTTCTCTAGAGAAGAGACAGTGAAGAACCTTTTAAAACAGAAGCCCCGGCTGGGTATGGTGGCTCACGCCTGTAATCACTGTAATCCCAGCACTTTGGGAGGCCAAGGTGGGTGGATAACTTGAGGTCAGGAGTTTAAGATCAGCCTGGCCAACATGGTGAAACCCTGTCTCCACTAAAAAGCCTGGGTGTGGTGGCGGGCGCCTGTGGTCCCAGCTACTCGGGAGACTGAGGCAGAGTTACTTGAACCTGGGAGACAAAGGCTGCAGTGAGCTGAGATCACAGCACTGTACTCCAGCCTGGGCAACAGGGTGAGACTCTGTTTCTAAATAAATAAATAAAACAGAAGCCACACAAAGGCAGGAAAGGTTTTTCCACCAAGTCCAGCCGGAGCAGCATCCCCAAACATGAGGAAATAATCAACATTTCAGCCCGAGGTGAGACCTGCAGAACAGAAGGCCCTGGATAGGCTGGCAAGAGGAGTCAGGAAATGTCTTCCACTACAAGTAGGATAAGAATTTTATGCCGCTCCTGGCTGGGGTGGGCTCTGCCTTTGAGAACAATCACAGTGCCCCAAAAGGGAACCCTGTCCAGAGAAGGCCAGGGTAGGTGGAAGGCAGGACAGCCACAGGGAATGCTCCTGTCTCCTTTGAGGAGGGCTGGAGCTGGAGCCTCACACTTCGCACACTTTCAAAGGCAGCAACCACCAGCCTGGCCAAGTTTCTAGAATCTTGCTGCCATGCCTTTGCTGGCCATAGGCTGTGTGGGAGTGGGGTCTTGGGGTTACCCAAACAGCTTATTGGCTGCAGAGTTGGGGGCGTGGGGATGGAAGGTGGAGAGAGGGAAGCCACCTGGCTTAGCCAGACCTGACTCATGTTTTCCTTGGCTGGAGCTGGGATTCCTTTCAAGGTTTCTGTCCCAAGATAGCATGGTTAAGCCAGGCAGTGGCTGGATGCTGTATTTCACTGCTTTCCCAGGCTGAGAAGGGAGCCAAAGATTGTCCCAGCATGTGCGAGGTATGAAGGTCTCCCTTGGAGCTCGAGATCCCGGTGGGAGCTATTAGATTCCCTTCGGTGGTGGGAGTTCAAGGGGGTGGGAGTTGGATGAGGATCTGACCCAGCACCCACAAACAGCTGCCACTCTTCTGGGGGCCCTGGGATGCAGGGAAGCAGGCCGGGCTGGTCTGGTTCTTTTTCGAGGATCTGAGGGAGCCCAGAAGTGACCTGAGACCACTGGCAGGAGACCCTGCCAGGAGAGCCCCTCCTTCTCCGAGTAAAGGTAGTACTGGTTTTATTGTTGTTGTTACTGTTATCTGGCTTCCCTGAAAACACCCAAGCAGGTTTAAGAGAGCAGCTCACCCAAATTCCCCCATGCAAGTCATCTGTACCTAACCAAGCCTCACTGTATTTGCTTTGAGGGATACCTAGGTGTTTTTTCTGCCCCTGAAATCCCTTCTTCAGGAAACTGATACCAGCTAAAATGCAAGCTCATTCCAGGAAGACTAATACAGCAAGTTATTTTTTTTTCTATAGCTATTTACTGAGTGCCGCAAAGCCACGTGCCAGACCTCATCCAGGGAGCAGGACATAGCAGTAACCCCGCTTCATAGAACTCCGTCCCATTCTCCCTTTCTGAGTATACATGGGGGAGTCCTCGGGGGTGGGGTGGTGCCTGCAAAGGGGCTGTCAGGGAGCATGTGTTCTGACCAGTGAACAACTGGCTGGACCGAGGAGTCAGGCTTGGGTGGCGGTATTGGACCCTGACTCAGTGCTGTGTCAAAGCAAGGGTGAGAGGTCCCTGCCTGTGTGTTCATCCGCCGCAGGGTCTGGATGCCTCTGCCTGCTCTCAGCAAGGAGCCCACTTTCTTCCCTGGGCCCAGCTCCAGTTCCCAGGCTTTCTCCCTCCCCGTCTGCTTCTTATCTCTGTCTCCAGTGTTTAGAAAATGTCATCTTGAGCAGTCAGGGCTGTGAGCGGCCATGGGAGCAAGGAGAGGCATGCAGCAGGGGAACGGGGATCCTACCAGGGCCTGGCTTAGAGCACAAAGCTGGTCAGAGCTGGAGGGGCCCTTGGTGACCAGCCACTCCTGGTGGACACCTGTCTGTTCCCTCCCCAACCTCCACCTCACCTTGGGGAATTGGAGATTTGTAGTTCTGACAGGTGGGGGAGAGAATGAGACTCTTTCTCCCTCCCCAAACTCCCCCTGACCAGCACTAACTCAAGGGACATCTATTCTGTTTTACTTGATCAGAGCAAGAAGACCGACTGGATCTGCATAGGAAGACATACCCCTAGCCCGGTACCGTGGCTCACGCCTGTAATCCCAGCACTTTGGGAGGTCAAGGCGGGTGGATCACAAGGTTGAGAGTTAAAGACCATCCTGGCCAAGATGGTGAAACCCCATCTCTACTAAAAATGACAAAAATTTGCAAGGCGCTGTGGTGTGTGCCTGTAATCCCAGCTACTTGGGAGGTTGAGGCAGAAGAATCGCTTGAACCAGGAAAGCGGAGGTTGCAGTGAGCCAAGATTGTGCCACTGCACTCCAGCCTGGGTGACAGAGTGAGGATCCATCTGAAAAAAAAAAAAAAAAAAAGGAAGACACACCCCCAGAGGCCCGCTGTTCTGTCCACTCCTGCTGGGGACAGAAGACCTGTGGGCAGCCGTGGCTCTGAGACTTGCCCTTTCTTGGGACAGCACAGGTTTTAAAGACTGGGTGCCCTAGGGTGAGAGACAGAGACCCCCGACCTGCTTTCCCTAACATTCCAGGAGGACCCGAATCACTGGCTCTTCTAGCCTCTTGGGCACTTTCCAGTTCCCATGAGGATGAAAAGGAAGAAGTCGACTTTAACCAGCGATGGGGCTGTGGATAGACTGGGGGTGGGAGTGCCCTGAGACCCACGGCACTGGCAGAGTCCCTCAGCTGGTTAGTAGTCATAGGCAAACACCTCCCCCTGGGCTTAGGTGTGTACCTAGTGGAGGCAGAGCTGAGAAATGGTTGTTTTCTCCAAATCTTTCCAGCTTTATGACTTTTATCATTAGACCTGGAAAAACATCTTTTCCTTTCTTTATTTTTAAAAAAGACCAGATTGTCTTAAACACAGAGTGATCATTTGGGCCTTTGAAAAGCAGAACAAAGAGAAAGCCAACCTTTTGGAAATAATGCTTTGTTTCCACATTCTGCTCCCCAACCCGCTGCCTTCATGCCCTTCCTCCACTCCACCCAACTGCCCCCAAAAATGCCCTGCTGCTGTGGCTCTGACTCAAGAGGAGATGGAAGATGACACCCCTGGGTTTCAAAGGCATTTCCCCCAAGGACCCAGCTTCTTGCAAAGCCTCTGAGAAGACCTTGGCCAACCTCCTGGCTCCCTGCTGCTAGCCTCAAAACTAAGGCTGCTCTGCCTGTCAGGAAGCCTATAAATCCCCAAGTCGGCAAGAAGCTACACTCTGGAGCTCTCCCCATTGCTCAGATACCTGGCTGCGGGCCCTGGGCCGACCTCAGCCAGTCTAGAAGCTGGTGTAAATAAGCACATTTATCTCAGACAGACCTCATTTTCTGAGGAAGTGGATTCCTTTGGGAACACTAACAGTCAAAAAGCCCATTGTTCCCTATGGGGCCAAAGCTCTTTCTCACTTGACAGCAGATATTTAACTGATGGCTGCTGTCCTCCATAAGAACATCACATGGTATTCTTAGATTCCAGCAAAATGATAACTCCTTTGTCCCCAAGGCAGAGGAGCAGTGGCTCTCCTCATATCTATGTAACCTGGGGTAAATACATATTAGGGTAACTGCCCATATATAATTGATCAAAAATTTCAATACACTGTTGCCCTTCTTGAAACTAGAACCAAGCACAGCTTGCAGATAGGAGTTCCTGGGATTTGAGCTATCTGGGAGAGTTGTATTACTCAGAAATGTTTCAAGTCTGGGAGGAAAAAGAAAAAACAAAGGAATCTTAGTCTTAAGTGAGAAAGATTTGAAAAAACATCAGCCTGGAACCCTCAAAGATGTGAAACGTCAGCATTCGAAGGGCACAAGTCAGCAGCCAGGGTGGAATTCAGAGCCTCACCAAAGCCGTGCAACAAGGTGTGGGGCAGATGGAGCCAGGTAGCTCTTCGGATGCTGAGCAGAGTGGCAGGCAGGAGGGAGCAGGAGCATCCTAGGAAGGCCCAGGCTGCTCTGGGGAGCTCCGATGGAGAGGGGCTGTCTGCCAGCCTGGCTGCCCAGAGGCCTATGTTTCAGCCCATTCCCACTCCTCACTGGCTAGCTGACCTCAGGCAAGTCCCTTAGTCTCTGTGCCTGTTTCCTTACCTGTGGCAGGAGATGGAGATGCTCAAGTAAAGGACAGAAACACAAAGATCATGAACAATACACAAGGCAGGAACTAACCACGGAGGGCCAGGACCACCAGCCAAGTCGCACCAGCTGAGTTCCATCTTGGGCCCTGGAGGCAGCAGCATTTACAACCACAAAGCGGCCTACATTTGGCCAGTCAGAGGCCTTCTGCCCCTGGGGTGGGTCTCAGGAGCTCTTCCTGGACCGATGTTGCTCTGAGAGATCCTGGCTGGGCCTCCCCCCATCCCCCTACTCCTTCCTGCTCGTGTGTTTGGAATTAACACGCATCCTTTGAACTTTTTCATTTTTCTACTGAGATGGAAACTTGGCCAGTGACCAGGCCTGGTTGTGCTCGCAGTACAGCTGGGCTGAGGCCAATCTCACGGCAATTGTAATCATTATGCAAGGTGCTGGCTCACTGGGTGCCAGGGATCGGGGAGGCACAGGGCTGCCAGGCAGCGAGAAGGTGAGGGAAGGGCGCTGGGCCAGGCGCCAGCCCCCAGGCCAGTGTGCAGATGGTATAACCTTGGACTCCTGCCGTCACCTCTGTGAGCCTTGATTTCCTTTTTAATAAAATAAAGGGATTGGCTTATAGGAACTCTGAAGCCCCTGTCCAGCCTGTGGGAATCCAGGCTATTGTAGAATATGGACCAGATCTCATGCACCACCGTTAACCCCTGCAGCTCCGGGCTGGCCTTACCTGTCCACATAGAAGGACCATGACCAGGGTGTCACATAGGAGGGTTCCAGGTTCCGCCTCCTGCCCTGCCTCATTAACCTACCTGCTTTCTCACAGGACACAGAGCAAGGAGGGGCACTCCAAGCCAGCAGGAACTGCAACTGTCACTGTCCCAGGAAGGCAAGCGCGAGAGTAGCTGAACGAATAGGATACCAAGATGGGATGGGGATGCTTTGTGAAGAGTCTGGAAGGGAGAGGCCAAAGATTATCTAAGACAGCATTCACCACCTACCCTGGGGTGCAAAGGCAAACCTAATTCCCATTCCCATGAGCCCAGGGCTGGCCTCTGCTTGAGTTCATCCACTCTCCAGGGGAACACTGCCTGCATTGCTGGGGCAGCCAAAGAATTCTTCTCTCCGTGGGTTGTTGAGTCTTCTGCTCACACTAGAGTCTCGAAAGCCTGAGAATAAAGAGCAGGTGTAGGGCTGTGAACAGTGGTTACCTGGCTAATTGCTATTGCCCAAGAGCAAGCGTAGCCTTGTAAAGCACCATCTGAGTAGAGGTTATGAGAAGTTCCTCCAACTTTCCAGAACCTTTGGGGTTTCTCTCTCCTCTTTCTCTTTCTACTTCAAATGAGTCTCTCCTCACCTCTTCCTTTGTCCATCTCTGCCATGTCCTCCCCTGCTGCTTTTCTCTTTCCCTCTTATGTCTGCTTCTCCCTGTCTATTAAGAGAAGCAGAGTGGAATCATCTAGTAGAAAGAGAATGGCTTGGGAGTCAGGCAACTTGACCTCTTTAGCCTCAGGTCTCTAATCCATGAAATCTGGTAAGTGACAGCCTAACCGCAGCACATCATTTTACGGAGCAGCTTTATATACGCCAGTGTGTCAGTCAGGGTTTGGTCATAATACTGGAAGCTGCTCTAGATATTCCAAATACACAGAGTTTTAATACAATGGATTTAGAGGCATTCATATTGGATGGAAGGGCTGGATTAGGGAAGATCAGGGAAGCCACTGTCGGACCCCACAGAATCAGGACGTGCCAGGATTGCAGAGAAGGCATGGATATCATCTCAACTGCCTGCAGCACCGGAGCAGACAGCGTGTAGGAGCTTGCCTGGAAGCTGCTGTCGACTGCATATCTGCCCAAGCCAACTCAGACAAGGGCTTTCTCTCACCTTCAGCCTTCTGATGCTTGTGCAAGTGCATCTTGCTGCCAGGATCTAATGTAGAGCCATGCTGGAAAGAAATGCGGGGGAATACAGGTCCCCGGATGTCCCCACCCAGGAGACAGAGGAACAGGCAGAAGGGAAGTGGAGGCTTGCCGAGCCTGGCAGCATCCCTGTCGTCAGAGCATCGTCTCCTGGTCCGCTCAACCCGATGGCCCTTCCCACTTCATCGACTGCATTTGGCAGGAACAAGGGGTTCATACGCTGTCGTGTCCTGGGAAGAAGGATAAGGGCACAGGAACAGAGAAGAAGTAGAAGAGCTACTTTACAACTTGTGGAGACATGAAAAAAGGCAGTTAAAAAAAAAAAAAAAAGAGAGTTGTCTTTCCAGAGAGCACAGCATGAAGTTCCAGGCAGATGGGATGTCAGGAGCAAGCAGCGGCTGCGGGAGTACCCTGGCAGGTCCTCCTCTCTGTCTGCTCTCTCCCCATCTGCAAAATGAAGGAGCTAAACTCTAAGGTCCCTTTCAGGGCTAAGCTCCCGTAACTCAGAAGGATGATGTGCTTGGCTTCCAGATGTGCTGTTTCATGTCTCCTCTCCCCCTCCCCTGGGTTCTTCTCTCAGCCTATACAAATACTCAGGTTTTCTTCGCGTCCTTTCAAGACAAACAACCAAACAAGGCAACCTTCCTTATAAGAGCGAGGGGATCTTATAATCCTCCCTTCAACTGCTGCTCCATCCTGCTGTGTCTTTTTACTTCCAAACCTCTTGAAAGAGTTGCACATGTACACATGGAAGAGAAGTCTGGGATTCGAACGCTCTTGGCGTGCAGGTCTCAGGCCTTGGAAGGGAAGAGCTGAAGAATTCATCCACTGGCAGGTGAATAAGGTCGGTGCTGATGTCACCTGTATGGGTACTCAGCCTTTGCGAAGAAATTGCCTGACTGTGGGGTCCTGCTGCCGGGGAGGCTGGATTTTGAGCAACATATTCGTTTTCTAGGACTGGTGTCACAGATTACCACAAAATTGTTGGCTTAAAGCAACAGAAGTTAACAACAAAGAAAACAAACAACCTAATCCAAAAATGGGCAAAAGAGCTTGAATAGACATTTCTCCAAGGAAGATAAACAAATGGCCAATGAGCACATGAAAATAGGCTCAATATCAACAGTCTTCAGGGAAATGAAAATCAAGAGCACAATGAGATACCACCTCCCACCTCCTAGGATGGCCGTGAAAACAAAAACAATGCAAAACAAAAAAACTGAGAAATAACAGGCAAGAATGTGCAGAAACTGGATCCCTTGCAGATTGCTGGTGGGAATGTAAAATGGTGTTGCTGCTTGGAAAACAGTTTGGCGTTTCTTCAAAATGTTAAACATACAATTACCATAAGATCCAGCAATTCGGCAGGGCACAGTGGCTCACACCTGTAATCCCAGCACTTTGGGAGGCCGAGGCGGGAGGATCACAAGGTCAAGAAATCGAAACCATCCTGGCCAACATGGTGAAACCCTGTCTCTACTAAAAATACAAAAATTAGCTAGGTATGATGGCACACACCTGCAGTCCCAGCCACTTGGGAGGCTGAGGCAGGAGAATTGCTTGAACTCGGGAGGTGGAGGTTGCAGTGAGCTGAGATTGCACCACTGTACTCCAGCCTGGTGACAGAGTGAGACTCCATCTCAAAAAAAAAAAAAAAAAAAAAAAAAAAAAAAAAAAAAAAAAAAAGATCCAGCAATTCCATTCCTAGGTATATAGGCAAAGGAACTGAAAGCTGGGACTGAAACAGGTATCTGTAAACCAATGTTTACAGCAGCACTATTCACAGTAGCCAAAAGGTAGAAACAATCCAAGAACCCATCACTAGATAAATGAATAACCCAAATGTGATACATACATACGGCGGAATACTACTGATCCATAAAAAGGAATGGAATTCTAACATATGCTACAACATGGATGGATCTTGAAAACATTATGCTTAGTGAAATAAACCAGACAAAGAAGAACAAATATTGTATGATTCCACTTACATGAGGTAGCTGGAATAGTCAAATTCATAGATACGCAGAACAGAATAAAGTTTACCAGGAGACAGGGAGATGGGAGAAGGGAGAGGATTATTTAATGGCTAGAATTTATGCTGAGGATGATAAGAAAGATAATGGTGGCGGGGCCCAGTGGCTCACATCTATAATCCCAGCAATCTGGGAGGTTGAGGTGGGTAAATCATTTGAGGCCAGGAGTTCAAGACCATCTTGGTCAACATAGCAAAACCCTGTCTCTACTAAAAATACAAAAATTAGCTGGGCATGGTGGCATGTGCCTGTAATCCCAGCTACTCTGGAGGCTGAGATGTGAGAATCTTGAACCCAGAAGACAGAGGTTGCAGCGAGCCAAGATGGTACCACTGCACTCCAGCTTGAGTGACAGAGCAAGATTCTGTCTCAAAATAATAATAATAATGCAATAAAAATAAAAATAATAAAGAAAACGATAATTGTGATGGCTACGTAGCCTTGTTAATGTAATTAATGTTACTGAATTTTGCACTTACAAATGGCTAATATTATGTTATGTATTTTTCGCCAACAAAAAAAGTTAAAACAAAACAAACATAAATGTATCCTCTCACAGTTCTGGAAGTCAGAAGTCTGACATGGCAGCTTTGGCTGGGCAGTGCTCCTCTGAAGGCTGTGGGGGAGAATCCTTCCGTGGCCTTCTGTGGCTCCAGGCATTCTTCGGCTTGTGGTTCCATCATTCCAGCCTCTGTCTGTGCCTTCACATGGCCGCCTTCTGTGTCTGTCTTCTCTGTGTGTTTCTCATAAGGACACTTGTCATTAGATATATTTTTGGTTTCCCAAAAAAGGCCGCATTCACAGGTTTTGAGGATTAGTATGTGGATATATCTTTTGGACGGGCCGTCATTCAACCTACTGCAGTCCCCTGTCCACACACACTTCCCTGGTGACTGGACAGGATGTGGGCCTCTAAGCTCAGGGCAGCTCATCCACAGCCTGGCCAGCCTCCTGAGATGTGCTGTAGACTGCGCGTAGGAGCTGGGTTGATCAGGGTCATCCTTTCCGGAACAGGAACTGGGAAACGTGGAGAGCCTGAGCCAGTTTGGACCAGAGTCACAAGGTGAAAGGTGCTTTCAGTGTGTGTCCAGTGCAAGAAGAACTTGCGAGGGAGCAGGTGCTAGATGTAAATAGAAGAAACCATGAGCAGAGAGGAGAGTGAGGGGACACACAGCAAGGAAGGAGACGCCACGAGGGAGGTCTTGAAGCCCACCAGAGAGACAGGCTGCTGCTCCCAGGGGAAGCTCTGGTTACTGGCAGCCTGTCAGTTATACGGGAGGGCCACGTGTACCTTCAAAAGTTCCCTGAGATACTTGCGAAGTCTTTTTGTTGGGGCCACTAGATCCTGACCAGAATAAGGGCAAGACAGGCATGCCTTGTCCTATATAAAGGTGCCTCAGCCTGAGGTCACTATGGAAGATCCTTGGTGAAGATGGCCTCAATAATTCCTCCTATATAATGTACCCCTTTGCAATATGACTTTGCTGCTCTTCCCATGTAGCAGGTGAAGTTACTCGTCTTCTCTTGGAATACGAACTTGGCAATGGGACTTGTTTTGACTGGGGGAACATTAGCAAAGGTGATGCCGATGGAGGCTTGAAAGTACTTGTGCATGGGGTTTGCCCTCTCCTTGGCTGTGGTTAGAATGGAAAGACTGAATTGAATGAGCCTGAGCTGGCCTGTTGAAGAGACCACACGGAGAACTGAGGCCTTAAGCTGGTCAACTGCCAGACATGTGAGGACATCTCTGTCCATGCAGCCCTAGTCAAAGCCACCAGATAACAATAGCTGCATGAATGACTCCAGGCAAGACCAGCAGGAGCCCCACCAGCTGAGCCCAGCCAAATTGCTGACCTACAAAATTGCAGTAAAATTGTTGCTTCAATCCACTAAATTTTGGGATGGTTTGCTGTAGGGGGATAGATTTGTTCGATAGGTCTCACCTAGCCAAGCCCCCAGCACCCCTAAGTGCAAAGCCAGACCCTAGAGCCAGCTAGCAGGGGTGTGTGGCCGAAGCTATAGTCTGCCCTGAGCCATCTCTCCTTTGTCATTTTAGTAACAGCACGAGTCCACCCAACTAAGTTTCCAGTCTTCCTTCAGCTAAGTGTGACTACATTTTTACCAATGGAACGGAATGAAAGTGATACGGCAACTTCCATGTTGCTTATTTATTTATTCAGACAGACTCTAGCTCCGGCCTATGTTGTGTCTTTAAAAGGAACTTGCTTGCCCTAAACTTCTCCTTCCTGCAGGCTGGAATGCAGAGCCGGTGCCAGCAAGGGTGGAGCTCTAGGACAACCTCTGTGATAGGGCTGCTCTATGTCTGGTCCACGGACTGGCTACTTGGTACAGTCAATGAGGAAGCGAGTACAGAAATCAAGATGAAGTGTTTATAAACTTTCATAACAAATTGACAGACTAATATTAGGCCTATTGACTATGGCACTAAGAAAAATATGCGATTTTAAAACTGTTTTTGGGCCGGGCATGGTGGCTGACACCTGTAATGACAGCACTTTAGGAGGCCAAGGCAGGCAGATTGCTTGAGCTGAGCTTGAGACTAACCTGGGCAAAGTGGTGAAACCCCATTGCTACAA